TCTTCTGCCCTACTATATAGTCTTAACGTAAAGCCTTACTGCTATTAGCTATACTTTTGCTATTAGATTTACTTTTCCTAACTTACTAAGCTCTTAAGCTATTTTAGCTATCTTAAGGAAGTTTATAAGGTAGTTATAAGTATTAGAATTATTATTAGTAACCTTAACTATCTCTATATTAACCTTAAAGCTATATAACTTTAATATCTTATACTTATTAGCTATCTTAAGTAAGTACTTCTAAGTAAATTTAAATAGAGTTTTCTTATTAGTATAGATAAAGTTACTATACTTAAAGCCTTTAATTTTATTAATTCTAGTTTTATAGATTAAGTTATCTAGTATAGCTTTACTTAGTTTATATGTAGTTATAATAAGGGGGAAAGATATTATATAGGGTTATTATACGTATAGGAGGATATAAGGAATAAGCTTAAGGCCTTATTTAAAGTAGCAGTTAAGTTCTTATACTATAGCTATAAGAACCTTTTTAGCTACGCAAAGAGTTATATTATTAAGTTTACGCCCTTAAGTATAGGTTTAAGCTATCGCTAGGCTCTAGCTACGTTATAAAACGACGCCTTTGCGACGTTATAAATAATGCGTTTATAACGTCGCGAATAACGCTCTCGCTAGTATATTTTGCTACTTTGCTGCTTACTTACTTACGCTCTTCTACTAAGGATATATTAAGCTAAGTATTAACGACTAGTTATATTAAGATTTATTTATTTACTTTATTAAGATTAGGTATAAGTTAAAGTGCTATTATTAGGTTTTAATATTATGAAAAAAAGTATAGAGTGAACTATGATACCTACTTATATAGGTTAACTAGACTGCTAATATAAGAGAAGGTATTTAATATTTATTATAACTTCTTAAAGTTAGTTATATTTATTATTAATATTTTAGTTTTTATATTACTTTTTTTAGTAATAAAAAAGCTTAAAAATTATTAAGATTTTAATAAAAACTTTTTAATTATTAATAGAGAGTAAGTTTAATTTTAGTATATAGTACTTAATATTATTATTATTATTATTAATTAATAAGAAAGTTTAAATCTCTATTTCTTTCTTTATAACTTTTTTAATTATTAGATATATACTATTTTAATAAATATTATTATTTAATATAAGCTAAGCTTTTTAGTATAACTTAGAGAAGATCTAAAAATTAGAACTATTATTAATCTTTATTACTACTTTTTAATATTATTTTATTTATTATAGAGAAACTTATATAAACTTAATAATATTTTAGAGCTAGCTAATAAATTTAAGATATTATTATATTTTTAGATCTTTATCATATTACTCTATAAACTAATAGTAATTTAATTTAGTTTTAAGAGTTTTTTAATCTTTACTAAATAAAAAAGCTTAAACTATAAGATTAAAGATATAGCTATAATATTATATATATTAAACCTAAATATCTATCTTTATTATCTCTAAGTTAATTTATTAATAAAAAGCTTAAAAATAAGTATTATTATTTATAATATTATTAGTAACTATTACTCTAATATAGTTCTAAATCTAATATTAATTAATAATATTAATAAAAGTCTCTATAAAGCTTTTATTATTATAATTTCTATAATATTAAGAGAAAACTAAAAAATATAACTATAAAATACCTTTATTATTAATAAAATAATTAGTAACTATTATAAAAGTATAAATATTAAATAAGGATTATAAATTAAATAATAAATATATTTTTAATATTACTAAATAAAGTTTAGCTATTATAAAAGCTTTATTATATTAAAAAAAGTCTTAAAGTTAGTTTTAAATAGAACTTTAGCTTTATAAAACCTTATTAATAACTTCTATATTATAATATTAAAAGATCTACTAAAAGAAGATATTCTTAAAATAAGTAAATAGTAAATTAATAGAGATAATAGAAGTAATATAGAAGTTTTTAAAAATTATAATCTTAGTTTTTAAGATATTAATATTAATAAAATAAAATCTTTTATATAGAGATAATATTAATATAAGAGATAAAAAAATAAAAATAATATTATTAGAGTTTTTATTTAATAAAAGAGAGATTTTATAGATATTATAATTATTTTAATATTATTAAAATATAATTTATATAGTTTAAAAGTTTAAAATAATATATTAAAATAAGTATTCTTATTTAATAATAATAATAAGAGCGCTAAATAGCTATAAAGCTCTTTTTATATTATATTACTAATAACTTTAGAAAGAGGTATTAGTTTAGCTTTATATAACTTTAATAAAGAAGTAGCTATAATATTAAATCTAGTTTAATTAACTTCTATTTTACTTCTATAATAACTATTTTTTAACTATATACTTCTAATTACTTATAATAATATAAAATAAGTTATTAATTATAAAGTTTAGAGAAATATTAATAATAAGAGTAGTTATAACTTAAGTTAAAATTTAAATATAACAAATATTTAAAACTATATATATATTAGTAATAGATAAAGAGTTAGTAGTAATAATTAATATTATTAGAAATATAAATATATAGGTATAAATAATAAAAAAAATATAAAATAATAAATATTTTTTATAAAAAATAGCTAATTATAATACTTTTTATATTATTTAAACTACTATAATAATTTCTAATTCCTTAAAAAGTTTTAAAAAAATTACTTAGAGTTTAGTATTTTAAGAGTAATTTATAAAGTATTAATTAGATATAGAGATATTATAATATTAATAATAATATTATATTTTAGTAACTATATATATTAGAATAAATAAAGTACTAACTAATCTATAATTTCTTATTAGTTAGATCTATTTATAAATAAGATATTAAGTCTAATAATTTAATTAAAGAGTAATAAATTACTTACTTAGGTAGTAGTAATAGCGTTAACTTAGCTAATTAGCTTATATTACTTGCTAAGTGACTTGTACTTATAGCAGCGCTGCCGGCAACTGCATCTTCAGCAACGCGACACGATCTCGTCTCCAGAAGGCGAAACCAAACCAGCGCCACTGATCCATATTTTGCACTGTCCATCCTCTTTGGCGGGCTGTAAGCTCCTCCTGGCCTGTTGGCAGAACCTCACGGCGTAAATGCACGCCCCATCCCTGGCAGTTGATGCTAGCATGCGCGTCAACCCATCGGAAAGGTGGCCTTGAATCATCGTTCTCGTCATGCACCAAGAGGGGCATAGCATCCTCGCGCCGATATAACTCGTCACGTATGTCCCTGTCTCTTTCTGCCACTTTATTGGAACCGATGCTCACAGGCAACGGTCCTGCTATGAGGAAGTTAAACCGGGCCATAGTCCTCATATCGGCCCCTTTCGGCTGTTTATGTATGCCTGCCAAGGGTCTGTTGCAATTTCCGGATTAGCGACCAGGCGAGCTCGCTCCGAGACGATCTTTCTGTGTAGCACGCCGAGATTGCAACAAGTTGCGGCTCTCGCCTTCTGCAACTCTGTTCGCGGGCTGTCTACTGTAATCCTATCCGGCCTCGCCGTTCCTCTGAAGTAAGAGAATGCATGGTCTATCATGTAGCAGATGAAGCAGTGAGCATCGGACAGCAGGTGTGTCTCCCAAGGTCTCAAGAGACTTAAGAAGTCATGCAGGACATTGGATCCTTCCGGTTGGGGCTCGCCGCCTTTAGTGATGCGGGTCAGGACCTGATGCCGTAGCAGGGCTTGTGCGAAACGCAAACGTTCTGTTTGGGTACATGGATGGGCGGCGTCCGGACGGATCTTCTCGAGCTCCGGGAGCCTTGATGCGGCGAATTCGTCAGTGAGGAACTGCACGCTGTGATTCACGTGGAGCAGTGCTATAGCTACATCGATGGTTGCTGACGCCAAAGCCTCGTCGTCTCTGGTTATTGACTTGCATCGCTGAATAATACTCGTTCTTTCTCCCTCATCTCCTTGGTGTTCGATTTTGGCGGGGGCTAGAGTGGCCACAGCCAGGGCATCCCACAGAGCCGGGCCGAGATCCCGGACCAGAATGCTGAGGAAGACCGTTCGCTTGGCTGAAAGAAAAGCTCTGTAAATCGTGGGTGAGGCACTGACGAGAGTATGGAGATCTATCTGCGACTGAGAGACAAATAAAATCGCCTCGAGCAGCTCCGTCGGTAGTGACTCAAGCCTAGAGGGGAGATACTCGGGCACCGACTGACCTATCGCGTGAATAGTTCTATGCAAGCCGAGGACGTTTTTCGGTGCTATTACGAGGTTGCATGAAAGGATTGGAGCTTTGAAAGAGCAGAGACGTTCGATTAGTGTATTACGGACAGCCGTATTACTCAACGGGAAGGGGGCAGACATGTAAGATGGATAAAAGGGGCAGAGCCCCGCAAATCAGGACAACATCGCGTCCACCATCATTCGCTGGGCCATGTTGCCGGGCTTAGCACTCAGTCGTCCAACCAAAGGATTGAAGAACACAGATGGAATCACTGACGCCTCTATGTTCTGGCCTTCGAAAGGCGCAGCGTGTAAACTGATGTGAACAGAGTGAAGCCTTTATTGTATTGTAGTTGATGAAGAAGGCCTGGGAGAGAATGTATAGAAGACTTTATCTGTCATATTATTAGCTTGAACTATTAGATACATAACCGCAAAGTGATGTGATATGGTATTTCTACACCTATCCATCCCCCGCGGTATTTAAAGGAAGGCAGCGTAAGAAAGTGATTATTATCTGAAATCAGTTGATTTTTAAGCAAAGATGTAAATCCATAGCAAAGCTTGAATCCCATCTCCCGCTCCCTGGTAGCCTCCTGATATTTGTAGACATGAACCCACAGATTTCTTTTGATCCTTAGGCACATCTTAAGGTGCCTCAGCCTGGGCCACTTTTCTGCGTTCAGCTCTATTCAAGTGGTTGTAACGATGGTCTCTCATGTAGTGATATTCTCTCAAATGACGCCGTGTATTTTCGTTATAGCTGGAAACCATATGGCAGTGAACACATACTCTAGTCCACAGCATCTGTCTCCTTCGAGCATTTTGAAGCCTAGAATGCGCCACTTCAGACGCAGTGCGGAGATTCGCGTCAGTAGGCGAGGCTGCTGCCGCTGCAGCTGCAGCCTGTGCTCGCGCAACGTACGTAGCCACAATTCTGGCACACTCTTGAACACCTCGATTCTGGAGATTGGCTGGAATTGTCGCGACCAAGGCTGGAGCATTGGCGCAGAGTTGGTTGGCAGTGAGACGTGGAGGGTTGTTAGCTGGGGCAACAGGGATGGGGGCAGCAGGAGGGGCAGCAGGGGGGGCTGCAGGAGGGGCAGCAGGAGGGGCAGCAGGAGGGGCAGCAGGAGGGGGACCAGCAACGGGAACAGCAGCGGGAACATAATTCGAGTCCGGAGACGCTGATCTGTCTGTCGATTGGGAAGGGCTGTCAGACGGGGAGGAGTCGACAACCATCTCTTCAAGGTTGTTGTGCCCCTCCTCAATATCTTGATGGATGTCGTAGGCAAGCTGCTCGTTTTCGCTGAGCTCTACCGCAATGTCATTCTCGTTGCGCGTAACCCCGCGGTTCAACTCCAATCCTCTCTGTTGCAACAAGAGGGCTCGGCCCGCGGCTGTCCTTACAATGCCAAGCTGTTCCCGCGAACCTGAGATACACTCTCGGAGGTCCGTGATGTTATTCACCCTAGTTTCGAACTCGTTGTCGTTAGGAGAAGACATCGTGACGTCTATGCTACGGTGTTATTTGTGTAATGGATGAAAGTAACGTGAAAAGAGTTTGTTGTTTATTGGTGGAATTCGAGTTACGAGGAGATGGCGTGGATGATGAGATTGCAGTGTGAAATTGAATGAGATAGGCAACGGCTTGTGTGAAGAAATGTTATATTGGAATGACCTGAGAACTGATATGATTTCGGGAATTATTCAGATGGAATATAAGGTCGAGATGCGTGCAGAACCGTCGCCAAACTGTTATTTAGGCCATTCTTTAGCACACAGCAGACTGTGTTTTTGGACAGCTTTCAACTACCTAGCTTCAAAGACTCTCACAGGCCGCTAGTTCCTAATCTTGAGTATCACGTTTATCGTCAGGAAGCAAGGGAGCAACAATTCTTTCTGCTCGGCGAACAAGCCTATTGACCGTCAATAATGAGTAATGCACAAGGGCAGTGGAACCTTTGTTGCCACTGCAAGGGAAAAGTTTCTTACAGTGACAAGTGTATTGTCTTCTCCCTTGATTTCATGTCAAGGTCTTGAACTCGTTCTACTTGCCCAATCCAACGGATTGATTACACATCCTGTTTCCGATTTGTTTGCCTAAGCCCCGGCTGTAACAAGCATCACTAGACCACTACTGTAGATTTCTTGAATCTCGATCTTTCTATTCATTCCAGCAGGTAGGTTCCCATGATAGCTAATCCTGCATTCTCGCCTTTGTCTTGCACCACTCGCTGCATCATTCGGTAAAACAACTCGAGCCCGTCCGCGTTGACCTTCTCCTCTCCTAAGGTTGTCAAGATGGTCTGCAGCCCCTTCAACTGCATCGAGACCGGATTTCCAAAGTTCTCGCCCCAGTCCTCCTTATCCAAAGCTCTTGATAGATTGACTAGATGAGGCAAAAGTGTCGAGAGGAGAGGGAGCACAATCTTCTTCATTGGTACTTCAGTTGATGGTGATTCTGTGGCCGGGTCATCGGGCCGCTGCCGCTTGAGCACATTCAGCGCGACAATCGCCCCGGAATACATGCCATACATGGCTGCGAGGGCCGCAATATCCCAGAGGCTTGCTGCGCCGGAGTCCTGGGCGACGTAGTGAGAACTTCCTAGCGGCCTGAGAATCCCCGCGATACTTTCGAATTCGGCTTCGTTTTCTCCGCTAAAGAACATGGACGAGTGCATCGTGCCAATAAGCTCGGGAGTGACCATGATTGCGCCGTCGAAATATTTAGCAATACCGTTGGATTTAAGACGCGTCTCCATATCCCGGGCCTGCTTAGACGTGCCGGTGGTAATGTTGATGACCGTAATGCTTCTCTCGGTTCCTTTGAGGGGTAAAATGGGCGTTAGGACTTCGTCAATGTCATCGTAAGTTGAGACGCATAAGACAATTTTGTCGCTGCAATGCATTGCTTCGTTGATGTTTGGCTCGAACATTGCACCCCTTTCCACAAGTTTGGCGATTTTTGGTCGATCAATGTTGCGGTTCCACATTGCGACCTTCAACCCCGAGTCAAGCCATGCGCTGACCATGGCGGCTCCGATATTGCCGACTCCAACGATAGTGACATCAGCGTTGTTCATCTTGATTGTCCAGATCGGCTTGTAAGTGAGGTTTTGTTTTGGATGTTTCCCGTATGAATGAGGTTACTTGGAATCTTGATTGGGGGGCATCGGATCATATATATACCACCATCGAAGACTTCCCTTTCTGCTGGCGCCTATGAGAATGATACCTCTACAGCGCTTTTTGCCAGGTTCATCGTCTACTACTTTTCCGAGTTGTGGATAACAGGTCTCGGTCTTCGGTTGTTACGGCCTCCGAGTGCACATGTTGAGCTCGACATTTTCGACATCTTGTTCATCCCACCGTCTAGAAAATTGCCCAAAACCGTCAATTTCCAAGTTCAAACTTTCGGAGTTCTGTTATGGCGCAATTTCGTCTCGTAAATCAACCAATGGCGTCCTTTCCCGTGCGTTTTCGGATTCCGACTTCCGATGAGACCCAGAAGACATCCTCATAGTTCGCCAACTAATTCTTGCGCACATGAGTTTAAAAGTCATTGCTGCGCTGTATCATAGGCGTAGAAAGAAAGTTTAGAAGTTGTTTTACAATATCCTAAGTCTAACGGCTCAATTTTGCATCAGTTGGAAAACTACGTGGCCATCTTCTAAGCTTACATGTAAGGTAATGACGAAGGCGTGGAGTCATGCATGGATGGAGTCAAGGATGGGCTCTCTCGGTTATCCTTCCGTTCATCTAAACAATCACGCCAAGATTTCTAGGACGTCTTTGCAATATATATATATGGAATTAAAAGAGTGGTTCGCCTCTTAGAAGGGGATCCTAGTATCTATGGTCGCTCAAAAAAGACAGGCTTGACGTGAAAATCATCAACATCGCCGCATAACACATTATTTGCAAAAATCGTGCTGCTGCAAAAGTCCACTATCGCCGCTTAAATTCACAGAACAGAAGTTTCAGTTCAAGAATCCATCGTGCAGCTTGAGCAGGTCGATGCCGGAGAAACGGCCTGCTGAGGCTCGCTCTGCGTGGTCTTGCGGCATCGCCGAGGAAACAAGTTGTTTCTTAACCGTTGGTGAATCTTTTTGTAATGTTCCCTCTGTTTCCAAGTTAGTATTTGCTGCAGATAACAGTGCGAGACTAACGCATACCATATTGTCCTTGCGACTGAAGATTCTGTCGCAATCGGGGTGGAGACACCGGACTGCGGGCTTATGAGACCCCATATGTCGCTGGAAGTCCTTGCGAGTCGCGAAGCCGACGCCTGCTTGCTGGCAACGCTTCTCGGTGCAGAAGAAGTACTTTGCGTGGCCCCGGAAATGCTTTCGCAGATCACAGGCTCTAAGAAAGACGCGCGACGAGCAGCACCCGGCGTACCGGCAACGCCAGTTTCCGGCGACATCGAGGTAGCCCATCTGATGGAGATCCGAAGGACCCCAGCTGTCGACCTCTGACTCTTTGGGAGGTGAGCTTGGTGATGTGGTCACGCTGCTGGGTGATGGGGCGAACTCGAATTGCTCGCTGGGGACAGGCGAGAAATCCGGGGGAGGAGAGGGCGTGGCGTAGGCGGTGTTGAACGTGAAGTCCGAAAGCGTTGGGCTGGTGGCCATCATTGGCATTGGTTGCTGGCATGTTTGGAATGAGAAAGGATACAGGAAGCTGTCGAGGCTATCCCCAGAAGGGTAAGGAATGAACTGGGAGTCAAAGGTGTATCCCATGCTGCCGTCGACGCTGGGGAAGAAAGTGTAGGAGGTTTCCTCGAGATAAGACTCCATGGCGCCTGATACCTGCAGACAGAGAATTGAATGATAAGAAATGGTTTGAAGAAAATCAGAAAGCCGCCGAGAAGATTGTGAACCGTGATCTGGAGAGAAGCAGAAGAAGCGATCTTGGCGAGAACCGGATCGACGCTGGCGTTTATGTATCTCACGATCTGGGCTTTCCCACCATCCATCACCCGTCACCCGTCACCGTATGCAAGTCATATAAACAAGGTGGTATAGCTCGTGTCGGAATGCAACGTCGGCGCCTACCCTCCAAAACGCCGGGGGGTTGGTGATGGATGCATGGCATCCGGCGAGAGTGTGAACCGGGCCATAAACGGCCTGACGACGGCGGAATAATGGCAGGGCCCACATGAAAGAGGCGTCGCCCTCTTCCTCTCTCGGCAAATGCGTTAGACTTTTGAGATCTCAGCAGATCTATTCCCTATCTAGGGACAACCGGCCGACCGTTTCAATTGTCAGCCATTTGACATCGGCGTTAGGTGCGTCGATGCCAAGGATCTCGTGGCACGAACAGTTGGGGAAATGGGGGGAGACGGCGGAACAAGTGTGCATCCGCTGAAATGCGATTCGCTAACCAGAACGTCCAGGAGGCCATGTTGCAGCGTCAGATCGCCTGGAGATCACGAAAATTGCACAGCCCGTCGCCCAGGGTCAGATATAGCTGATATAGCCCCCTCCTCAGCTTAATCACGACAGTCATCAATGTCAATGGGGAGAGGAGGTTCGTGCGCAACGCGGGACGGGATGCCACCGTCTTTTCTAAGCGCTGACTGAACTTAACACAGCGTCTTAATGGACATCTTGTGCCCTAAAAATGTAAACATCTAGCTGGGACATGCTGTCTTCTGGCGGCTGTTTGCGGGGAGGTCATGGTGATGGGTATGGATCCCCTTGTTCCCGATGTTGATTGCGATTGGCTCTTGGAAAGCTGTCAAGCCAAACCATAAAGTTAAGGAAGCGCAGAGTTCCGAGATGGCCTTCTCATGAGCCAATCGGTAGCCAAGAACTTTTGACATGTCGAGGCTGTCTGGGATTGATCCATGATGCTGTTCCCGCTTCAGACTTGACAGTCTCTTGGAAAGTAGTTATTCATCCACGGAATAAACACGGCCTCCCAATCACAGCCAAGTCGTGCCCCCTTGGCCTTTCTCTGACACCTGGAAGCCAATTCCGTAAGGCTGGACGACAGGCCCGTCAAGTGTCCCAGACGGATAAAAGTGGTTCTCTTCAGGGGAATGGCGAGATGCGATTCGCTCATGAGAATCGACCTCAGCCACGCTCAGCTGCATGACTCGAGACGTTCGGTGGGGGTTTCTTCCTCCGTGTTCACTGGATCGTCACCCTTCCTTGCCATGATCGGCCGGGCTCGCCAACGTCACTTTGTCAATCTAGGCCTCCTCGAAACTGCCCACCTTGACGGTTGAAGCAATGCCATGATCACGGCGACGACGGCGAGAGCGGCTATGGCGCGTGTCATGTACCCCGCCGATAAACACGTTCCGGTCGATCATCAGCGGAGGAGGCCTCTTCTTCTCCGCCGAACTGAGTTTAATATGTGGTTGATAGAGACACCGGCCGAGAGCAGAGAGTATTCTTCCACAGGCCTAGTCTATCCTATAATTGTTTTGTTTGCAGTGATAGCCAAGCTGATAGCCCTGCCCGGCTGGGTTCTTCCCGTTGGTTCCCCTTGTCGCTTCTGTCTGGCTAGACCGGCGCCGGAGCGCCACACTGCATCAGGTTCATGTTGAAGACCAGAAATGTTCTTGAGTTTATCAAAGTCAAGTGGTCACATCAATTATAGCTGCGGATAAGGACGGCCTACTGTCGTCCCGGTGTCATCATGATGAATATCCCCCACATCGATGATCCGCGCTGGTGCTGTTGATCGATGCTGCATATCTACGCAGACGTAACAGCATCTGGCTTAATCTAGCTGCTGTGGAAACTAGTTTCAGGGAAACAAACATGCAAGATCACCGCTGGGGTGCTGGTACCACGCGCAGGACTAGCAACGCTGTCGCGCCGTTGGCTCTAGACAAGGGTGAAGGAGAGCAGAGTGTCATCCTCAGCAACACCTCCATGGACAAACGTAGAACAGGGTCGCATTTGACCGTGCCTGCCTCATGTGAGATAAGATTCCTGGCATATTGACTGGACAGGGGTGGTGCGACATGGCTGCGCGATGCAGAGTCGCATCTTGAGTTCTGAAGACTGGTTCTTGGGGGATGTGCGACTCGCAGTTCGTCCCTGTGCTCCTGGCCGAAGTCCTGAAGGGTTCATCAGTTTGGGCAGACGATGTCACTGTTGCTCGTCTGCTCTCGAATCCGATTCGAGAAGCGCAGCAGTCGAGTCCGTCAGGCCACCGGTTTAGAAATGGAACGAAAGGATCATGAGATGTATAGATAACCGAAACGACCGTGCATGATGGGAGCGGAGACGTGCCGAATGTTCGGGTGGTCTGTCATCCAGCGTGTTGGAATTTTGACAGATGAAGATGAATCAGTATGGAGTTACGAATCCTGACATTCTACCGATGGTTTAGGCGAGTCGGCGACTGCTACCACGTGCGAGAAGGAATTGTAGCTCAAACTTCCGGGTCTATTGACGTTGAGACCTCATGGCCCCCGAGAACCCGGAAAAAGCAAGCAAAATATGGGGAATCTCGGCAATGTTTAAAGCAGAAACATAGGCAGGAACCCTGAGAAGATCTTTCTGCACGTATGTCCGGTAAAGCCACAGGAGGATATGCTTGTTGACATACCCTGGTGGCTGCTGAAGAACATGTGGCTTGTGTGTGTTCGTAAGACGACAAGGGTGACTAGTCTGCTACTGCTGGGTTTCCTAGTATGTGTCTGCCAGCATGTTCTGCATCATCTCTTGCAACTGAGCCGAGAACCGAATAACGTTGATGGTGTCTCCGTTAAGCTTCGATGGGTACATGGTTACCAGCGCCGCCTTATAGCCATCCACAAACCGAAGCTCATCAAACGTTACCGTTTTGGTGACCGTGCAGACTAGATCAGTTATTATTTTCTGGCGTTAGGGTGATTTCGGACCTAGTACAATCGTGAATAGGAGTCATATGTGAAGCGTGACTCATAACGTCGGGGCTGACTTGCCGTTGTGCCTCATAAAATCCACACATAAAAGTTATTTCCTAAGAACCACTCTTGAGTCGGTGTTACAGTTATCAACCATATTCAGCCATTCGAATCCAGCGTCGAATTTCACAATGGCCCTTCCGTCAAAACCTCGACCAATAGTCCATATCAACGGCTTCCCAGGAACAGGCAAGCTGACTATTGCCAAATTTCTAGACGATACCAGCGACAAAATCAAGCTGGTGCATAACCACCTCCTCATAAACCCTGCCGAAGCCGTGCTGAGTCGGGATCAGCCGGGCTATCAAGACCTGCGTCGTCGTATCCGCTCGGCGATTTTTGAGTCGCTCATTCATGAGCCATCCACCTACTCAACACTTTACATTTTCAAAGACGCCCAAACAGCCAACGAGGCAGGAACGGCTGTCTGTCAAGAATACAAGGACTGTGCTGACAGGCGAGGTTGCGATTTTATCCCCATTACGCTAGATTGCGATGAACAGACCAATTTGGGCAGACTAAGTGAAGGTGGCCGACAAGCGGAAAGGAATTTAATTGACACTGAGGTTTTGAAAATGTTCCGGGCTGGCGAAGACCTGTACGATTTTAGTGGACACTCTCATCGATTACGGATTGACGTGTCTCATTTGACGCCTCAAGTTGCGGCAAGCAAGATTCTAGCCCATGTTGTAAATGTTTGTCCCGATGACACTCGCGGCCTTGTAATTACGGTATAGCAGTCTTATTCGGTGTTGGTCTACTAGAAAGTTATGGGGGAGACGAGAGATATCAGAAACGCACTCTCTATCAAGATAGCATTGATCGGATTGTCGTCTTATTGATAGCCGCCATGCAAGTCGATGCGCGACGAATGTAGTCAAATTGAGCTGCGTCTGAACCTCGCCAAGTCGATGTTTACCTACCCTGTTGATAATTATCGGTCCGTCCATTGGCCAGCTGCATGTACTGAGTAGACTCAACGAGTGACGTCGGTAAATAACCAAGTTTCTTACTTGCCGCGATGCGCGCGAGGGATTTCCCTGATAACATCTCACGTACAGACTTTTTCCTTGATCCACCGGAGGTCCACCGGAAGCACGCCGGTGGCTCCCGGGACGCTCACTGGCCCGCCGAGCTCTCGGTCTGATTCGGCGCTTCCGTCCTGAGACGATCTCGGAAGGTGACGGGCATTACAACGGTGGGTTTTTCGTCCCTGGAAAAGTCGCCAGATACGTCATAGGTGGGGTGAAGAAGTGGTCCTGGCATTTGAGAAGATGCCCCGCGGTCGGTGTAGGCGGGGTGCTCGGTGAAGGAGGGACTGACCGAGGCTTACCGAGGACGCGCTCAATTGGAGGTAGAAACGGCTTCAGCCTTTTCCACAACGCCAAACAGCTGATTTAATGGGTTAATTAACGGTCAATAAACCCAATTGGCTCCCAAATTTCAAAGCATCCAGCCCAGCCATGGCGCAACATCTCACCGTCCTCGTCTCGAGGTACCGGGAGCAGATGCAGCAGCCATCTGTGGCCAGCCGCTGGCACCCGTGTCGGAATCCACTGTCCGTCGCGATTCATGAGTAAGCCCGGCAACCGGAGAAAGCTTTATGGCTCATCCCACTCTAACACCACCACCCCATACCGTCAAAGCCTCTTCTTTCTGGCCGACCCCATGTTCACCTCCTGCAGCAGAGCATCTTTATTAATAAGATCAACCATCTCGTCCCTCCGCCAATCCTCTTCTCGTACAACTTCACCACTCCTCTCACCCTTCTCACCACCCCGCACAAGCACAACCGTCACACCAAAACTCTACTACGCCCGCGCCATGTCCTCCGCAGTATCCCTCGTTGAGTCGGCCAAGAAGGCCGCCGCCTACCGCGCCGTCGAT